GCAGTGGGTTGCCATGGGCTACCGTGTGTAGCCAGAAGCAAGCGTGAGCAGCCAGCAGCTGCCATGAGCGGCTGTCCAGAAGCTGGCGACTGATCTGCCTTGCCCGGGAAAAGCACAATGATGGTGCCAACTTGGGCCAGTGAAGCAACATCCTCCACAACTAGACTGAAGAACAAAACAACAACAACTTGTCTGTTCCCCTTCCCTCAGTTCCCCAGCACTGTTCCCATCCCCCAATTCTCCAATTTAAAAAGAAAAAAGAAAATACAGGAAAGAAAAAAAATCTCACTGACAAAGGCACATTTAGTAAAAGCAGTGGATCAACCAACTATAAAGATAGTACAAAGGTTAAAAGACAAAAGTAGGAAGACAAAAATTGTGTAATTACAACAATAAATATAGGGATACACACAAACACATACAAAAGAAAGAAACAACAAAAACATAAATGGGGGGGTGAATAAAAATTGTAGTGGATTTAGAATGTGACAGAACTTAAGCAACCATCAACTTAAAATAGACTGATATAAACATAGCTTGGTATATATGAATCACATGGTAACCACAAACCAAAAAACTGTAAGAGACATATAAATCATAAAGAGAAAGAAATCCAAAAATAACACTATACCAAGTGATCAATATACAAGAGATCAAGAGAATAAGAAAGGAACAGAAAAGATCTACAAAACAATCATATAATAATAAAATGGCAATATCTGCATACCTGTCAATAATTACTCTAATTGTAAATGGACTAAATGCTTCAACTGGAAGACATAGGGTGGCTGAATGGATTAAAAAAAACAAGACCCATGCATATGCTGCCTACAAGAGACCCACTTCAGATCAAAAGACACACACAGACTGAAAGTAAAAGGTTGGAAAAAGATATTTTATGCAATGGAAACAAAAAAGCTGGAATAGCAATACTTATATCATACAATAATAGACTTTAAAACAAAGGCTTTAGAAAAGGACAAAGAAGAGCTTTCATAATAATAAAGGAATCAATACAACAAGAGTATATAACTCTCGTAAATATCTACACACCCCACATAGGAGCACCAAAATATATAAAGCAAATATTGATGAACTTAACGGGAGAGATCAACAGTAACACAATAATAGCACAGGATTTTAACACCCCATTGACATCAATGGATAGATCAGTCAGACAGAAATCAACAAGGAAACAGTGACCCTAAATGAAATGTTAAGGCTAGCTAGACTTAATTGATATTTTTAGGACATTTCACCCCAAAGCAGCAGAATATACATTTTTCTCAAGTTCATATGGAATATTTTTCAGGATAAACTACATGTTAAGACACAAGAAAAACAGAGTAAATTAAATACAAAGTAAGCAGATAAAAGGAAATAAAGAGCAGAATTCAATGAAATAAAATTGGAAAACTAAGAAATATGTGAAACTGAAAGATGATTCAGTGAGAAGGTAAATAAAATTATTAAGTCTGTAATCAGAATGACTGGGAAAAAAATGAAAAGTGCAACTTACCATATTAGTAATGAGAGAAAAGACATCACTACAGATGTTAAAGATTTTAAATGCATGAGGGGATTTAATGAATAACTTTAAGTCAATAAATTCTACAATGCAGAAAATGGGATTCATTCTTTACATGACACAAACTACCAACACTCACTCAAGAAAAAAAATATTACTAGCCTATATCTAGTAAAAAATGGAAATTACGGTTTTAAAAAAAACAAACTTTCTCACAAAAAGAATGCCATACTAAACGGCTTTACTGATGGACTCTACCAGACATTTAAAGAAGTAATTGTACCAATTGTAGACAAACTCTTTCTGAAAATTACACAGGATGGAATACTTTCCAACTCATTCCCTGATATGAACATTAGGCTGATATCAAAACCAGACCAAGATCTTATAAGAAAAGAAACCTAATAAACAATACTCCTCATAAAAATCAATGCAAAAATTCCTGACAAATTTTAGCAAATCAAATCCAAGAATGCATAACATGAACAGCACATTGTGGGATTTATGTCAGGTATACAAGACTTGGTTTAACACTCAAAAATTAATCAATGTGCGGCAGGACTTCTGGAATGATAGTGTGAGAAGCTGTCCGCCCCCCCCCCCCCCCCCCGCCAAAACAATGACAGAACCGGACAACACTTGCAAAAATAACCACTTCAAAATGTGTAAAGTGACCAAAGAAATACAATAAACTTAGAAGCAGTACTTCAAGAAAAACAGCTAAATCGTGGCAGAAACAGTGGGAGTCTATACAGTTTAAGCCACAGGCTGCTACCTTCCCTCTACCCCCGGCTCCATGGCTAGTAGCTCTACCAAGACTGAGCAGTCTGGGATGAGGTGCGGAGGCGGGGGAGCCCCACACCCAGGAAATTCGTCAGAAACAATCATTATCTTGGTGGCAAACCATCAGGGAAGCCCAACATTGCAGTTGCTTCAGGCTACAATATTTGGGGTAAATGATGAATTCAGATCCTTATCTCATGCCACACAAAAATTAACTCAAAATGAATCACCGACTTAAATGTAAGGTCTAAAATGACAAGACAGAAGAAAACATAGGAGAAAATCTTTATGACCTTGGTTTAGGTAAAGATTTGTTAGGTTTGACACCATATGCATGATTCATAAACAAAAAGTATTAATAATAATAGGATTTCATCAAAGTTAAAACCTCACTTCAAAAACACACCAAGGGCCGGCCGAGTGGTGCAATGGTTAAGAGCTGGCTTGGGACGCCAGAGGGCCCCGGTTCGGATCCCACATATAAGGGCCAGTGACACTGCCCTCTACAGCTAAGATGCTGTACAACAGCTCAACCTGGAGCTGGGCTGCCGTGAGTCGCCGGCGACGGCGTAGGCTGCAGCCCCTGCTGCTGTGGGCTGCCATGGGCTACCGTGTGTAGTCAGCAGCCGCAGTGAGCGGCCTTCCAGATGCAGGCAGCTGATCTGCCTCGCCCGGGAAGAGCGCAATAATGGTGCCAGCTTGGGCAGTGAAGCAACGTCCTCCACAACTAGACTGAAGAACAAAAGGACAGCAACTTGTCTGTTCCCCATCCCCCAATTCCCCAATAAAAATCTTTAAAAAAAGCATAATAACAACATGAAAAGGGTATTTCAGCAACAATAAATGAATACCTAATAAGCACATGAAAAGATGCCAATATCATCAATCATTAGGGAAATGCAAAAATAAAACCACAATAACTAGAATGGCATAAATTTTAAAAGGCTTACTATACCAGTGTTGTCCAGGATGTGTTGCAAGTCAAACTCGCATAATTCCTAGTAGGAATGTAAAATCATACAAATCACTTTGAAAAAGTTTACCAGTTTCTTGAAAAGTGAAACATACACCTATCATAGGACCCAGCCATTGCACTTGTAGATATTTACCCAAGGGAAATGAAAGCATTGTCCAAACAAAGACTTCTACATGAACTTTCATAGCAGCTTTATTTGATATAGCCAAAACTGGAGAAAAAAACACAAATGCCCAACAGATAAATAAATTGCGCTATGTCCATATAATGGAATACTACTCAGCAATAAAAAGGAATGAATTACTGATACACACAACAAACAACATAGATGAATTTCAAAGTAATTACGCTGAGTGACAGAAGCTAGACCAAAAAACGGAGAACATGCTGTGTGATGCCACTTATATTAAATTCTAGAAAATACAGACTAATCAATAGTGACAGAAAGCAGATCAGCAGTTGCCTTGGGATCGGGGTAAGGGATGTAAAGTGGCCTGAGGAAGGAATTCCAAAGGTGCCCAAAGAAACTACTGGGGATGAAGAATACCTTCTTTATTACATTTGACATATGTCAAAACTTATCAAAGTGTACATTTTAGATAAGTTTGTTCTATGTTGATTATACATTAACAAAGCAGTAAAAAAAAAATGGAAATGAGGACAAAGAGGAAGCAGAAAAAACTGTTATGTGGCATTACAATTCTCCAGACAAGAGGCAGTGCGAGCTGAGGCTGAGATGAAACCACAGAGATAGAAACATGAGTAGGTAATTTTAAAGTTTATTAGAATACAGAATCGACAATACTTTTTTGGTGAAATGGATATTGGGAGTTGAAGAAAAGGAAGCGATCACAGACAACTTTTATTTTGGTGTAAGCAACTGAGTGAATAGTGGTGCCATTTACTAAAATGAGGAAGACTGGAATAGGATCACAGAGTTGAGGTTTTTCACCATGGTTACGAAGAGTGACTCAAACTGGTTTTACAAGTTTAATACATTTAAAACAATGAACCAGGGTTTATATACAGAAATCAAGAAAATAAAAATGGAGTACTGATCACTGCCATAAATGGAAATTAATATGTTTAGGATACAGAAAAAGAGACTAGTAATTCATGGAGATTATTATAAAACAGGTGCAAAAGACCTTGACCTAAAATATTTTTTTTTAAATAGCTAAATAAAAGGTAGATGTGCAAATTAGAAAAATAATTCTTTAAAACTATTTTAATCAAATGCTATATTTTATGTCTAGTGTTTTTTTTTCTAGTATGACTTCATTCTGTTCTCATATAAAACTAAAATATTTGTGTCCATTAAACTCAAATTAGTAATTCAAAGGAAGAATACCACAAGTTCTTTATTTCCTTCCACATTGTTGCTCACCTGTTTAATCTTTCGATCGTTCCAAATTCTGCTCTTTTATATGATGGACTGAAAGCATCTTGACTTTCATTTAATTTGGAAACCAAGGAATTGGAATAATTAACATTACTGATCTGAAAAAAAAAAGGAAGAACCTGACAATATGGTAAATGTATGTATGTGTGTGTGTGTGTACAATTAAAATTGCTTGCCATAAAATGCCATTTAAATGGACATCTATATTGAAAAAAAACGTATTTTTTAGTCTAAAAATCAAGTAATTGTACCCTTATTGAAACAAAATAAATACTGTTCTAACAGTGAAAGCACTATCAGTATTTGAATAATTGTTAAATTAATAGAGTTAGTACTATGGTGAACTAACCATTTTCTCAGAGGTTTGAAAATAAATTTAAAAAATTAAAAGAAAAATACCTAGGACACCAGGATCTTGAGTAAACAAAAGTTAATTTCTCTGACAGAAATAGCTCCTCCCAAGGAAACAGTTATATTTATCTAGTCCTTCCATTTACTGAGTAATTTTATAGACTGCTACTTTAATCTTTCTGAATATCAAAATCGTTGTGTACAACAGGGGAAAATATGTGAACTGTTGTGAAAAGCAGATGAGATAACCCGTTTGTTAATGTGGAAGTTACCATATAAATGTAAGATATTATCTTGGCCCAACACTAATCTATCTAGCAATAATAATTTATACCTGTAGAGTATTTTATTTATAAGCCATGAAACAAAGAAATGAGAGGTCCAAAGACAGTCAGTGACAGAAATTGAAAAAAAAGAGGTAACAAAATAAGATACTGAAAGTCTTTTTTAAAAGATCTAAAGTTAGAGAGAGCTGGAAATAAAAATCTCAGTACATCTCAGCCTCAGAGACACAGTGGCAGAAGTGCGGAGACAAAATCATCTACTGAAGTGAGGAAAAACAAACAAATCAAAAGAGAATCTATATATTGGCTCAATACTACTTCTCTAGGGACGAGTGAGCCACAGACCACTTTTTGTTCTAATCTGTTTCTTCAACTCATTTTCTTCCATATTTTATAATTTCATTTTAATTATCCTTTTCTTGAAGTCCCTCTAAAATAAGCTATTACTTCCCTAATACTTCACAATGTGACACTATGCCTCTCTTTTCTCTCTTCTGCCACATTAAATATAACATTATACCTCTCTGGGAATAATCAGTAACCTGCAGTCTGTAAGTAGATTATTTAGGTAGAGACTATGAAGAGTTTTATTCTCTATTCTATAAACTATTTAATGGAGCAAGGATGAGTTATAGCTGATCTACAATGCAAGTTTTAATCTTATAAAACACACACTGAATGAGTAATTAAATGTTTTTCATTGCATCATTCAAAAAATTATTGGATCTTTACATTAATATAACAAGCACATATCACTGGAATATACTTCATTTTCTCTTCTCTTAAAAACAGAAAACATACTTTAATAAATAGTTTAACAAAATTGAATGATATCATTATATATAACTATCTTACCATAATATTTAACAATAATTTGTTTAATTATAAGTTTATGAATTTATAAACTATAAATTTATAATATATACATAAATATGGCAAAAGACACTGCATGATAAAAATGGAAGAAATTCATATTAAATATTCCTGTTGACAAGACATAGTGTTTATATAACCATTTTCCTCACTACCATTTGAACAGTCCAGTTTTTTGACTCATACTCTTCTACAGTGCAAAGAATTAAGCTTTTGACCTAAGAGGAATTATTACACCTAATATATCTCCTAATTTGGCTATATCTATAGCAATTCACAACTAATATTTTTTTAATTTATAAAAGAAAAAATATCATAAAAATATAAGGACATAAGATACTAAGAACTAGCGATTCAAAGATACCTGCACATTCTGCTTTTTTTCATATGCAACCCTCTGAGGACTCAGTGCAATTCTGGGAATGAAATTTTGTTTTGTAATATGTCTGTTAGAAGATAATTCTGCTGAAAAAGATGGTGGAGTGAAACTGTAGTTTTCTGTTCTGTTGAACCGAGGTTTGAACATTCTGCATGAATCCACGGCTTGTGATGACTATAGGAAAGAAGATACAATCATGTGAGTTGCCAATATATATAAACTAGAGAAGATAAAAGTCAAAATACAAGTGAAAAGGTCATGGGTTGCAGAAAAAGTCCTAAGGAAAGGTAAGTCATCAGTAATTGGCAGGGCTTACTAAGACAAGAGAAGTTATCATTTAAGTACGTACTTAAGAGCTGCTTTCCATCTACCTTTCTCACCCCAGGTCCCCTACTCCCTAAAGCTCCATTCCTGTGCGTCATCTCCTAATGACAAGAAATCTTAGTTGCATTAACCCACAATTCAGATGAAAAGATTTCAAAGAAATTTTACTATCACTGCCATTATCTTTCTGATGTAGTTTAACTGGCAATTCAAAGGAGAGAAAAGGTAATAATATGGTATTGGACCTTAACATTTCAAGCTTTAATAATAATCTGTGCGTTTTCCAATTGATTAAAATATTATTTGCTAAAAAATAATCATTCACAATACTTTGAAAGAAAAATGACCTTGGGATCAATGTGAATATTGAAAATCACAATTTGATATGAAATAATCTGGTCACTATGACTGAAGAGATAAACTGCTCAATGATTACATGAACCCAAAGTAGGAATCCCCAAATGAATTATGCTGTGCAGCTCCTCACAACAAACAGAATCAAATGTTATGCATATACAGGCCTGGTCTACATTATCAGAACTCCAGAGTTTCTCATAAACAATCAGCTAAAATATTTTTAAGGTAGAGTTTCCTTACTTTAAAAATTTTTTAAGGAATAATTTTAAAGACTTAAAATTTTTTAAAAGAATAACTAATTTTTCCTGATTGTCAAAATAATTATATTATTTGGTAGCTTGCCACAATTGTTATAATTTATAAAAAATTTTTAACTCTCACCTGAACACGGTTAAGTTCTTCCTTGCTGCCTAGTCTTTGGTAGTATATACTAATGAAAAGAAAATTTCAAGATTAAAAATAGAGATGGCAATGAAATATAAAATTGACCTTTTTATATGGCATATTTAAAATTCATACTGTGCTATACAAATACACAAAAACATACAGAACACTAAGTAAATCATTCCAAGATCATACTATTATTGAGTTTTATAAAAATTACATTATTACTAGAGAGACATTTTTAGGTCAAGGCAAGTCAAACTACGCATATAAAGCACTTAGTTTGGACATTAGGTCATTTGATAAGGTCGTAACAGTTTAATAATACTGTTAAGAGCAAAACAAAAACTGGAGGTAGACGGATAAGCCCTTTGTACATTTTCCGACGAATAAAAGTCTCAATTTAATTGATCCATTTAAATATCTAATATCACACAACTTAGCTGAAACCTACTTGTTTTCTATATCATCAATGCAGAGGTTAGATGGTACACGAGGAGGCGACATTGGAAGTTCTAAATCATGCTTTCTTAGGGGCATTCTTATGTCTCTCTTCATATTCACATGGATTGGTTTTCTCTCAGTTTCTATAATTTAAAAAATTATAATTTAAAAGTAATCACAAAATCTTTTAAAAGTACTGTTTGATATACCATGTTCATTAAATAAATGTACATCTTGAAAATTTATTAAAACTGTGCATATTCTACATATGATAAAAGAAGTCATTCCAGTACTACCAAATATCACAGATAATTCAAATCACCCTTTTTGTCATCATCCTACATACTCCTCATAAAAGGGGCTCTACTAATTCACTTCTTTTTTCCTCCTCCAAGACTGCCCTGACCCCAGGCTGTAGCAGATTCTATGTTATATACTGCCATAGAACTACACATGTTCTCTGTTACAGCACTTACCATAGTTTATTGTATTTGATTAACTCTATCTCCCTCACTAGATTTTTAAACTTTATAGAAGCAGAAACCTTGTCTTTCCTTTCAGAAGATATCATTATTTTATCAGTACTTGTAACACCTCTTCTTTTCTGGGAAATACTTTTACACACATACAAACTATATAGTTCTAGAGAAGACTAGGTTTATCTTTTTATAAACCCTACCTCTCCAGAAAAATAATTAGTTTAGAGGTAGTCATCTGACTCAAGATGAATCAGTAATAGGACTGCATCCTTCTGGTAATAATAACAAGCAATTGTACCAGTCTTACGACCTGACACCAATGGGACAAGGCAGCATCCTTCCAGTGGAATTTAAATATAGAACCAGAGAAACTCTCAGTATTTCCCTGGTGGTAAAACTACAAGAGATGAGAGATATTAATTTTTTAACATCACATTTTAAGCCTCAGGATGAAGACAATCTAACAGAATAAAGCTAAATCTGAAGTGAGAAAGTGTCTTCGTAGTATTCAAGTCCCCAGTTCAAGCAGTCTCTGGGGCCCAGCTGAGCCACGTTCTTCCCTTTTAGTTAAGCATCTTAGTCCATTCAGGCTGCCATAACAGAATACCACAGACTGGGTGGATTACAACCGAAAATTTATTTATCAGTCTGGAGGCTGGGCAGTCCGAGATAAAGCTGCTGGCAGACCCGATGTCTGATGAGGGCCCACTTCCTGGTTCATAGACAGCCAGCCATCTTCTAGCTGTGTCCTCACATGGTGGAAGGTATTAAGAGAGCTCTCTGGGATCTGTTTTATGAAGCACTAATTCCATTCATGATGGCTTGACCCTTGTAATTTAAGCACCCCCTAAGGACCCCACTTCCAAATACCATAAAATTGGGGGTTAGGATTTAAACATATTAATTTGGAGACAAACATTCAGTCCATAACATTAAGTAAGTAAATATATAGTTTTAAAATTTCTGTCATTTGCAGCCATCAATCCTGACTAAAAAAGTTTCGTTTGTTTAGGGGAGGAAAAATATATTTTTCTTCTACCTTTCCAAATTCTCAGTTGGGGTCCCGCTTATAAAAGACAGATTAACAAGAGAAATTTATTCAATGTAAAGTTTTATATGGAAAACTTTATTAAAAAAATAAAGACCCAAAGGAGTGACTAAACCTGAACATTTTCATGCTAGGTTTGATGAAGAGCAGAAAGTTGATGAAAAATGTTATAGGACAAAAAACGTGTGAGCTAAGTGCAGTAAACTGGGGAAAACACAAGGCCTATTCATCTAGATTATTTTCAATGTCCCTCTGTCTTAGAGATAAAGATCTTACTGGTATAGGGAGAGCACCTCTTACATGAGAATCCTTCCTGCACATGCTGCTTCTCAAATTTCTTCAGCTTAAAATGTTCAATGTGTCAAAGTGCCTTATTTTGGGGCAGCATTCCCTGACACTGTCACTTTCTGTTCTATTCCCAACATCCAATCAAGTACTTATGGTAGATACTCAATAAACATGTGTTGAATGCGTGAATAAAAAGCAAGTGAGGGAGAAAGAAAACACTGAAAGGTAAGTACAGCATTGGACAGCCACATCCAAAAGAAACTGGAACCCTATCTTAAAACATACACAAAAAATCAAGTCAAATTAGATTAAAGACTTGAACATAAGACCTGACTCCATAAAACTCCTAGAAGAAAACATAATGGGTAAGCTCCTTGACATCTGTCTTCACAATAATTTCCTGGACATGACACTAAATGCAAAGGCAACAAAAGCAAAAATAAAGTGGGACGACATCAGACTAAAAGCTTCTGCACAGCAAAAGAAACCACCAACAAAATGAAAGGCAACCTACTGAATAGGAGAAAATTTTTGCAAATCATATATTGGATAAGGGGCTAATATTCAAAATAATTTTTTAAAAACTCATATAGCTTATTATTTTCTAAAAACTCATATAGCTTATTAGCAAATAAGCAATCTAATTTAAAAATGGGCAGAGGAATTAAAAAGGCATTTCTCAAATAAAGACATACAAATGGTCAACAGGTACATGAAAAGGTGCTCAATATCACTAAACCTCAGGGAAATGCAAGCCAAAACCACAAGATATCACCTCACACCTGTTAGAATGACTACCATAAAAAGACAAGAGGTAACAAGCCTTGGCAAGGATATGGAGAAAAGGAAACCCTTCTGCACTGTTGGTGGGAATGTATTATAAATTAGGACAGCAATTATAGAGGACAGTATGGAGGTTCCTCAAAAAAAGTAGAACTATATCATATGATCCAGCAATCCTACTTATGGATGTATATCCAAAGGAAATGAAAACAGGATGTCAGAGAGGTATCTGCCCAAGAGGTGTCTGCCCTCCCATGTTCACTGCAGCATTATTCACAATGGCCAAGATATAGAAACAACCTCAATGTCCATCACAGGATGAATGGATAAAGACGTGGTGTGTATACACACACACACACACACACACACACACACACACACACACTATTCTTCAACCATGAGAAAGGATTTCCTGCCATTTATGACAACATGTATGGACCTTGAAGGCATTACATTAAATCAAATAAGCCAGACAGAGAAAGACAAGTACTGCATGATATCACTTGTGAATTCTTTAAAAATTAGAAAATTAAGTCAAATTCATAGAGACAAAGAATAGAAAAGTGGTTGCCAGGGGCAGGAGACAGGGGGAGTAAGGAAAATAGGGAGAGTTGGTAAAAAAAATACGAACTTTCACCTATAAAATGAATAAGGTCTGAGATCTAATGTAAAATGTGGTGGCCATATCTGATAATAATGTATATATAAGGAGGAAAAAGGTAAATACATCAAGCAGATTTACAAAATCACTTAGTCCTAAATCCATGAATGATGTATTTCCTTCTACTAAAGTACAGCCAAATTTGCCGTGTAAACTGTCATCTGTGGAGGGAGAAACAAAAATGGTAGAGAAAGGAAAAGACAAGATACTGAAAAACTATAATTAATTTCTATCCCTTTCATGAACTGTCTTATTTTAGCATTTATTTTAAAACTTAAATCACAAGTTCACAAGTATCAAACACAAGTTCCCTTGAGAGTGAAAAAAATACTCTGATTAAAGCTTAATTATTTACTTGATGAATCAAAGTACAGACCAGCCAAAATGAACTTCATTAATTTAAAGTATGAGACTACTACAGTTAACATCCCAGGAATGCCTAAGAAATTATTTGGGCTGTGAGATAGGAAACTAATCACTGACACAAAAATCTTTTCAGCCCTTCCTTTCAAACAAATTCTCTGAATAGCATAAGACAGTAAAGAAATGTACTCTCTGCCTTTTAGCTAAACTTTGATAACTATATGCTTCGATAGAACAATAACTGAAATGGAACAATAATAACCATACCTTATAAAATTAATTTTACATAACACAGCCTAAAAATAAACGGATTAAGCAACAAAAGATTTTAAGCAAAAATTAACAAAGCTTCTAATTTAAGAAGATGACCAAGCTCTAAAATTATTATAGTTTACTTTACACATCCTTTGAGTTCTAAAATTACAAACTTACTAGAAAACTAAGTACTATGATCACATCAGTCAAAACAAAATGCTTTTGGAAAGACTTACCAGGTGTTTTCTTCTGGCAAGAGATCTGATTTACCACATATAGGTTAAGGAGGTCTAAACTGACAGTGGAATTTTTGACAGGGGATAAAACTCCCAGCAATTTCATTTTTGATTTTAACTTTTTCTTTTCAAAATATTCCTAAAACAATTAAAAATTAAAAAGTTATTGCAGCCACCATAAGGTTTCAGGCAGAATCATAAATAATAAAGGCAATAATGCTATTAAATAATTTACTTGCTTTTTTTAAATTAAAGTTTATTGGGTGACAATGGTTAGTAAAGTTACATAGGTTTCAAGTGTACAATTCTGTAATACATCATTTATCTATGATATTTTTATATTTTTGTGACACCACTGCTGTATGTTTACATATAAATTAAAAATCAATCATGAAACTTGTAGTTTGCCTAAAGACTAAATTTCACAGCTGGTTATAATCTTTCTTTTGATAGAAGTAAAACAGAATTTTATAAAGCCATTCCCAGGTATCAAAAATTAAAAATCATCTGAATGTAGAAAGTCTTAAAAAATCTGATAAAACAAATATGACAGGCTGAAAACTTGTTTTCCTATAAAGTATGCTATCTTACACATATTACAAGCCTTGAAAAATAAGCACAGCTGAGTGCCATTAAAAGTCAACTGAAATGAGAATAGGAAAAATTTATGTGAGAACTAATCTCCAGCCAAACCCAATTTAATTTCCTTTGTTATTCCTCAATGGCTCCCACATTTTTTTAACCAGACTTGCACATAATTATCATTGTTCATCCTGCATTTATTTTCTTCTTGGTTGTTTGAGCTATAACTATTCTTATGTTCATTTTTTTTCTTTCAGATTACATTCTTAATTTACCAAGTTCAAAGTCATTTATTTGTTCAAAATTCATTTACTGAACTATTATGTATTAGACACTAAAAAACAAGTTATGACATCTTCTCTTCCATTAAGTAACTCATAATACAATGCCATAAACATGATTATGAATGTGACACATCAAAAGTGAGAAAAGTACAAGATGGCAAAAAATTTAATGTAAGAGGAAGTTAACACTTTTGCAGCAAGTTAAGGGTATTTCACATTAACATTTCAGAATATTGTTAATTATAATAGACTTTTAAGATTTTAAAAAAATCTTGTAAGAACTGTAAGAGACTTGCCAGCTATCAAGCAAAAAAATTGTCATGTTATGCTAAATTAACCATGAATAAAAAGTATCTGTTTATATTTCATTTGAGCGATTTGCAACCCCAAATTGGACTTAAATGTCTTTAAAATGAACTATATACTACATTTGTATATAGTTCAGCAATAAAATGACCTTCAGGATGTAAGTATTTTCCCCTTGAAAAAAATAACTACGGATCTTATAATTGATGGTGTCTTGGAATTAAAATGTTAATTCCAAACGCGATAGGAGATGGTACAGAATCCTCAAGAAGGATATAGAAATATAGGTAGGTGGGGGAGGGTAGGCAGAGGGAGGGCTGGAGGAGAGCAAAGCTTTCTTTGAAAAGTATCTGTAAGATAGACGGATGTGTCAGAGTTACCAGAGGTTGGTAATATAAGGTTCCAGGAATAAGGAAGAACAGTACAAAGGCAGTCTGCTCCAGGGGACACTGCTGAAAAGGATGGACCTGCATACTCTCTAGCCATAATGACAGCTTCTATTCTTTGTATTCCTAGAAAGAACAAAGGTATATGACTAATTTATTTACCTTACAAGGCTATGCTTTATTTTTCTATTGTCAAGTCTCATTTGGCAGAGACAAGCAGAAAATAATTAGAAGATAAATAGAAAACTTACAGAAAATAATCAAATTTTAAAGTGAAAATAGCCATTTAACAGGAGTAGCTATGGAGACAGAAATAAAATCTGGAGAATGCATGAAAGGAAATAAGGGAAGAACTGGCTTCAAGATGAAGGGAATGGGCAGTTCTCCGAACGGAGACAGTCCACTTCATGAAGTGTTAAAATTAGTTTGTATCCCTCTCACACACACAAGATGAAGTGAATGGCAAACAGTGCAGGAGATGATGACATATTAAAGTAAGTTGGGCTGAAAAATATTCTTGAAATTGAACCACATGAAGTTCAATTTTAACATTAGCAAGAGCTGTATAGTGGAGTGTACTGAGAAGCGAATGGGAAATAAGAGTGAAGGGGCATAGCGGGAAAGGAAAATGACCCAGAGAGGGCTTTACTTGTTTTAACAGGAGAGAACTGAAATATCAATGGAAAGCCTCCAGTGGACAGGGAGTGGTAAAAGATACAAGAAAGAGAAGTAATAGAAGCAATGAGGTCCCTGAGAAAGCAGAAATAAATGGAATCCAGATCACAGATAGAGAGACCTTCCTTTGACAAAAGGGAACTACTTCCATAATTAAAGGAGGGAAAGAGAAGATGGGTGAACATGTAAGATGGTTTACAGAATTGGTGGTAGAAATTTGAGATCATTTTCATCTAATAGCTTCTACTTCCTCTGAAATGTAAGACATCTAATGAGTATGAAGGAATAAAGAACAGGGTTGGGGAAGAGAGGTTTGGGGAGGCAAAGGAAGGTATGAGATTTTAAAAGAACAGGAAAGTGACATGACTAGAGAACAATACTTTGGGAAAAGGGCCATCTGCCTTTCCCTTTCTTACAAATATTCTTATCAATAGAAAGAATAAACCAAATAGAGTGGAATTATTTTTTTAAAAACAGTCTGGGACAACACTCATAGCATATTATTGAGTACCTATGTTATCGCTAGACACAATTCTAGGCACAGGAGATACAGAATGAACAAAAGTAGTAAGATCACTCTTCCCATGGATATATTTTAATAGAGGGGGAGGAAAACAGAGTAAAATAAATTATAAGTAAATACTAGAGTGTGAAAAGAGTGATCAACAAAAGAGGTTACAGGGGGAGAGTAACTGGAGGGTGGGAAGCTATTTAGATGTAGTGATCAGAAAAAGCCAACCTAAGAGGAGGTACTTTCGCTGAGACCTAATTGTTGACAAGGCAGACATGCAAGTATCTAGAAGGAGAATATTCCAACTAAAAGAAGAGTGGCAGAAAGAGGTGAGTGTGGCTGAAATACAATGAACATTAGGGCAAGCGGGAAGAAATAAGGTCAGAGAAGCAGACACGGTGCAGATTCTTCAGGTCCTCGCAGGCTATGGTTATATCAGGTTTTACTCAAAAAGCAATGAAAAGCAATGGAGGCTTTTAAGCTGGGGAATGATAAACTGATTTGTGCTTTTAAAATATACTAACCTCTGTGTGAAGAACCGACTACACAGGAATAAAAGACAAGGCAGAAGAAAGTCGATAACTTCAATTACATTAAAATTAAGAACTTTCCTTCAAAGACAGCATTAAGAAAGTAAAAATAAAAGCCAGAACACATGTATGATTGACAAAAAAAGTCCTAAATATATAAAGTCACAATAAGAAAAAGACAAACAATCCAAATTAAAAAAATGAAAAAAATACTTGACAAAGTACCTCACAAAAAGAGGAAACCTGAATAAAAAGAGAGTCAGTCTAACTAGTAATCAAGGAAATACAAGTTAAATTTATGAGACATCATTTCAATGAGTTACCAACTACCGTGCTTTCATAATAATCTCTTCCTTAGTTTTCTCTAAATTTAACTACCTTTGAGCATGTTTTTTTCTGCTTTGGGACTTTTAGTAAATGGAATCTTAACTGTTGGTAATCTTCTGTGAGTTGCTTCGTTTGCTCAATATTATGTTTTTAAGATTCATCTACTTTAATTACATGTAGCTGATACATTTTCACTGTTGTACCATTTCTTGGATATGCCATAATTTGTTTAACCATTCTACTGCTAATGGACATTGGATGGTCCCCTTCCCTGATCTCTCCCATGCCCGTTTTTTCCTCTTTCTCCTTTTTTTTTTGTTTTTTTTTTTCTGTTTGTTTGTTTTCGCTTGCTACTGAAAATCAACAATGATCCAAACAAGTTATACATGTCTCAAAGTGCACATGTAGAGAAGTTTCTGCTCAGTTGTATGATATAAGCATGTGCTCAACTTTACTATGTGATACAATCAATGTAGTAAAAAAAACTGTTTTAAATAGGAGCTAGGTTATAAGGCCATGATATTACTCTAGGCAATAAATGATGAGGATTTGAATTAGTATGTTAATGGTACAGGCAGTGAGCAGTGATGGGATGTATTTTGGAACTAGAATGACAAGAATCAACAATGATCCTTAAGTCTCTGCCTCAGCTATAAAGGTGGCTAATCAAGCTATCTACAAAGATGGGGAAAACTAAAGGAAGATGGTCTTCCAGTTTCACTTAGGTCAATTTACAAAACTGGAAAAATTGTTGAGATATCAATTTTCTCATAAATCGAATACAAATAAAAATATATATGCATATGTTTTTTACCTTTTGCTTTCTCTTTTCCTGCTGGATCAGAACCCTGGTCCTGAAAAGAAAAGGATGAAAATATAATAACTAAAGAATGGTCTCTAAAACAATTGCCATTTTAGCTGAATTGAAGAATTGGGATTAAGACTAAAAGTGTAGTAATAATTATATAATTTTCTGAAAATAAACTTAAAATGTTCTTAAAAGTATTTATAGCATATAATTTTCCACAAAACTTTGTTAGAAAATCCAAGAACAAAACAGACTCTCGACCTATGATAAATAATTAAGCATAAAAATAAATCTGAATTATAAAATGAAGATAAGCAAACAGAAATCAATGATTGGAAAGGATGTATCACCGAAATATTCTCATCTGATAGCAATATTCTTGGTCAACACTTCTATTTTCTTGGTCTTTCTTTGTATTTCAATACTCTGCTAATCAACAGGGAATACAGAGATGATCAAAATCTATATATAGGATTTAAGGAAATGTTAAGTTTATTATCAGAGCAACTTCAAGTACATTAATATCTTAGCTATCTGTATTTGCAATCTCACACCTTCCTTAAAAAATAGCTAGTTACTATGGGTGTACTTCATACCTCTGACCTTTGTGCCAAACACTGCACTGAATCACAATGATACTGCAGTATTTAATGGTTATAAAATACTTGCTCTATTAATAAGAGTGGAATGCTATAAAACATTAATGACAATGCAAGTAGATCTATACAAAATATCTTTTAGATGTACATGAAACTATGATCTCAAATTCAAGATTTGTGTAATAATTATCACAAAATGACAAAATGTATCTTAGCTATATGAAATTATGTAATAACAAATATAATTGCTAATGAGTACCATATATCTTGCACTACATTCTAGATACATCAGATACTTTATATGTATAAGTTCATTCAATCTTCACAGCAACTCTTTAAAGTAAGTTCTATTTTTATCCCCATTTTACTGATGAAGAACCTGTTAAACCGCAATTAATTTTGCACCAACCTAATAACTGGCTCATAGTCACATTGCTAATAAGTAGTAGAGCCAGGACTCAGCTCCAAGAATTCTAGTTTTGGAAGTTTTTAACCTGTACAGTATACTGCCTTCTAAGTATATGAACTTATTCTAAGAATATACAAAGCTTTACGTTTTTCCAAATGATTTTCATAAACTACATAAATGACAGTTACTGAATGCCGCCAGACTCTGCCACTTACTGAACTTGTTCTTTAATGTATTTCCCAATAGCTATACCTTAATTGACTTTTCTGAGCTCACTAAGCAAAGAATCTGATATATTCTGCTCCATGCAGCATCATAAATATACTATTGGCATTCAAACTTAAGGAAATATATTGCATTTCATTGACTCATCAAATGCTAAATCTAGAGTGGACCTAAGAATTTAGTTTATTCTCCATCATTTTGAAACTTACAAAACTTAAGCATAGAAAGCAAAGTGGCTTTTCAAAGTTCAGAAATATAAGAAGTATGACCAAGCCAGTAATAATATTAAACAATCCAGATTAAAAAGGGATAAATATCAATTCTATAAGCAGTTTCCACATTATAAAGCTCAGTAGAATTAGAAGCATGTCAAAGTCTAAATACAGTCTTCGTGTATGTATGTGTAAATCAAGGGACTTGATTCCAGGCTGCTTTTCTATTATTCAGGACCTCTAACGGCTCTCACCAAATTCTATATACTCCATAATCCCCATTTCTATGAGCCTAAACAAAATTAATTAGGAATTCAAGAATACCCAGATCAGCCGACTAGTCACTAGATCACAGTGAAAGTGAAAATGGATTCTGACATTTAAGTCAAAGGTAATTTCTTAAACAGAACATTTAAAATTATTGAGGCAACCAATGCTACTAACTAGTACTATATGTCTAAATGTTTTATATTCACTCAATTACCTGCACTAAAAAAGGACATTGAATCTGTTAAGATTATTAGTTACAAGAAATTGAAAGAATGTTTGGTTAACTTAAACAGAAAATAAATTTATTAAAAGGAAACTGGGCAGCCAACACACTTGCCAAGAAAACTGAAGAAGCAACTGGCAAGAAAAAGGAAGTCTAGCAGCTGCGAGTTATATCAAAATCAAGCCATTGTTAGTCTCTAAAGTCACCAGGGCTGGCACCGGTGAACACTGACCACCACTGACTGCACCATCTCTACTCCCGGACAGTGCACACCTCCCCTGGCATCACTGCATCTGTCCCTGAAAATTCGGTCCTGCTACAGCTCCTGCAATTGCCTGCAGCTACAAAAATGCTCTGCGGTCCCTATTTCTTTGGGTCACTAACTTCTTTTCAAAGTACAGGAGAAGTACATCAAAGTCTGAGCATAGATCACATGCCCATTTATTAGCTACAGAACAGAATGAAACAAGTATCTGGGGTTTTCCATCAAACAGACCAATATACATATTACAGGGTCCCCATAAGGAGAATAGAAAAAGGGGCAGGAAGCTTACTCAAAGTTATCATGGCTGAAATTTCCCTAACCTGAGAGAAGTAACAGACATTCAAGTCCAAGAAGCCCATAAAGGACCAAGTAAGTGGAATCCAAAGAGGCAAATACCAAGACACATCACAATTAAATTGTCAAAGTTAAAGACAAACAGAGACTCTGAAAAGCTGCAAGAAAAAAGCAACTTATTACGTAAAAGAGAACCCCCATAAGTCTATTAGCAGATCTTTCAACAAAAACTTAGCCAGAAGGGAGTGGCACAACACTCAAAGTGCTGAAAGAAAAAAACTGCAAACCAAGTATATTCTACCTGGCAAAACTGTCTTTCATAATTTAAAGAGAGAGCAAGTTTGCCAGTCAAATAAAAGATGAAGGAGTCTGTCACCACTACACCAGCCTTACCAGAAATGTTAAAGGGAGTTCTTCAAAGTGAAATAAAAGGATGCTAATTCATAACAGGAAAATATATGAAAGTATAAAACTCACTAGTAAAGGTAAATATTGGGTTGTCGGAAAAGTCATGATGTATTTTTTCTGTTTTTCATTGCAAAAATGTGTCGCGACTTTTCTGACAACCCAATATATAAATTCAGAATACTCCAATATTACAGTGGTGGATAAATCACATATAACTTTTTTTTTAAGGTTAAAAGACAAGATTACTAAAAATAACTGTAACTACAATAGTTTGATAATGGAAACACAATGAAAAGATGTAAATTGTGATATCAAAATGTAAAATGTGGGAGTAAGAGAACTTTGACATATGTTTGAAGTTATTAGCAGCTTCAAATAGTCTGTTATAAACATTTATATAAACCTCATGATAACAACAAAGTAAAACCATTTAGATACACAAATGATAGAGAAAGGAACCAAATCATAACATTACAGAAAATCATCAAATCACAAAGGAAGACAGAAAAAGAACAGAGGAATTACAAAACAACCAAAACACAATTAACAAAATGGCAATAGTAAGTCCATACCTATCAATAATTACCTTAGAGGATTTCTGGTCAAGATGGTAGAGTAGGTAAACTCTGTGCTTGCAAACTCTGTCACAAACACATCAAAATTACAAGAAAATTACAAAACAACCATCATTAGGAATTGCCTGAAGTCTAGCTGAACCAAAATCCTACAACTAAGGGCATACAGAAGAAGCCACCTCAAGGCTGGTAGGGAGGGGCAGAGATGCTGAATGGGCTGGTCCCATAACCAGAGAGAGATGTAGGCTGTGGAGGTCCCCGCCACCCCAGAAAAGCAAGAGGCCCCAGCTCACCAGGCTCCCCAGCCCAGGGTTCCAGTGCTAGGGAGAGAAGTCCCCATAAATTCTGGCTGTGAAAACCAGCGGAAACTGTGCCTGGGTGAGACAGAGAGGAGCTGGAGTCCCAGAAATTCCTCTTAACGTGATCCCGCATGGACTTACTCACTGACAAACTCACTGACTCTGAACTCCAGCTCTGGGGCATACAGGGAGGAACTGAGTTGTCTGACTTCAGGGCGAGGGCTGGAGGGGCAGCTTTCTCCCAGACAGAAGTGCTGGCAGAATCCATTTCCTTGTTGAGCTCTCCCCACTCCAGGGCATGGAGACACAGGCAGCCACCATATCTGAGTCGCCATCAACCCTGCTAACACCATTTGTCCACCCCAAACTGGTGATTCCCTGAAACCCTGCCCCACCCAACTTGTAGGCCCATCCATCCCTCTTCCAGTGGCTTTTCCATACAGCCTGTCTGAGCTCACACTGTGGACTTTCCTAAAATCTCTCAAAGGTCCGCAAAACCCAAACAAGCAGCATCTGGCTTTGCATGGCCTATACATCTGGATGAGAAGCCCCAAGACCGGCACTAGCAGCAGCCAACCTTGGTTCAAGGTTTGGCCTCTTGAGGCACCCTGAAGCCCAGCACAGGTGGCAGCCATCTGCAGATTGCTTTGTGGCTCATGCCAGGTGGCTCCGAGCAGGGCACAGGCTGTGGCTGAATTTTACTTGAGGCGGGACCCCTCCCAGGAAGGTGGGCCAAGGTGGAGCACCACCCAGCTGCCTCCATGAATGACACACCCAAAGGACAGACTGGGCAGGCACCATAGCTCAGCTAATGTGAATCCTGCTCTGTAGGGTCAGCACTGCACAGCAGCTCCTCCATTGTAGTCAAGGCCAGTCCTCACAACCAATCAGCCAGAGGATCAATCCCTCCTCCCACTAACATGCCAATAGCAACCAAGGCTCAACTACAACAGGAAGTCACACACAGCCCACACAAGGGACAGTCGTGGAGCACCCAGCTCAGTTAACCAGGGAGACTATGCCACTAGGCCCCACAGGACACCTACTACGTAAGGCCACTCTGCTAAGACCGGGAGACATAGCAGCCCTACCTAACACATAGAAACAAACACAGGGAGGCAGCCAAAATGGGGAGACAAAGAAATATGTCCCAAATGAAAGAACAGAACAAAACTCGAAAAATAACTAAACAAAATGGAGACAAGCAATCTACCAGATGCAGAGTTCAAAACACTGGCTATAAGAATGGCTAATAATCTCAGTGAGA